AAAAAAAAAAAAAAAAAACCTACCCACAGGCTCTTTTCAACTTTAAAACAATATTCTAGACACTTGACAGTTAAATTGGCTCCAAGATTACAAAATTTAAGCTTTAAAAATTACTTTGATATTAGCAACATGGCTTACAACTATTAAATGTTTTCCTATGTTAACCAAAAGGCAGTTTTCACACTACTTAATGAATTCAAGGTAGAGACAAGTTCAATGGCATTGTACTCAGAACACAAAGGACATAATTTAAACAGCCAATAAACTGGCAATGCAGGGCAAACTTCAATACTGAGCAGAGAAAGCCAAATAAATACTTTATAATTCTAGACCAAGACTTCAACTAAGTAGGAACACCCAAAGAGCCTGGTGACCCAAAACAGCATCTCAACTGAAAAAGAACAAAGAACACCAGCTAAAAATTTTAGAGTCGTTTAGAAGCAAAATCTGAATGTCTTTTCTCTTACTGAAACTCCTTTCCACCAACATTCTAGCAATTCTGTTCCCTGCTCTGAAGCTTAAACTATGGCAGCCCACCAGATAGATGAAACTATTTCCAACCTATCAGCAATTCAGTAACACATTTGGGAGACAGCATGATACAAAGGTACAAGACAATACACACAACTACCAGGAACTCTCAGGCTTCCATGCCACTCTAAACGAGGCGTTTCTGGCCAGGCACTTTTCATAAACTTTGCATGCAGGAACACTGTTATCCCTGTTTTACATACCAGGAAATTCGTGCACCTTTCATTACCCTCTGCTGCCTAAATCTTTAACTGCCACTTAGACTAAGGTCTTGCAAAGGCGATCCAAATGTGGAGAAACCTGAAACCTATTCAATTTTGGAGACCCTCCTTTTAAAAATATCTAAAACATCTTACTTTTGCAAATTTTATTTTTTTTAAAAAATCATGTGAATACAGGTTTGGAGCCCCTTCCTCGGCTTGAAAGGGGCCCTGATAGGGCTTCATCTGCCTCTAGCCCTATTCATCTTTGTGCGCCTAGAACCCAGAACAATGCCTAGCAGAGTAAGCACTCGGGAACTGCTGAATAAACGGATTTCCTCACTCTCACCTCAGTTGCTAATCTCCTTTCTTTAGCCATAGGGTTCCCCTCCTCTCGGTCCTTCTCCGGGACACCTGCTCTCCCGGTCCCTAACACCTATCCTCTCGCAATCAGCCATAAAACCTAACTGGTTCAAGAGCACCA